TTCCGGGTGCGCTTCAAGGTGTTGACTATCATCTTTAAAGCGCACCATGGCATCGGACCTGGCTACCTCCGAGACCGCCTTCTGCCACAGATCACCTCTCACCGGCCGATACGCTCCCACAGAGCAGGTCTCCTCAGGGTGCCGTCAACCAGACAGTGCCGGTTGGCGACCCCCAGGGGGAGAGCCTTCTCTGTTGGAGCCCCCACCCTCTGGAACGAGCTGCCCCCAGAGATCCGGTTTATTCCGGATCTCCCCTCCTTCCGCCGCGCCCTCAAGACATGGTTGTTTCAGCAGGCAGGACTGGCCTAGGGACATTTTAAATTGGTTTTTAATTAATTTTTAAATAAGAATAGGCCTATTGGATATATCTTTTAGTTGATTTTAAATTTTGTAGATTTGTATCGATTGTTTTGTTTTAATTGGCTGTAAGCCGCCCTGAGTCCACTAGGAGAAGGGCGGGATATAAATGCAATAAACTTGAAACTTGAAACATGTTACTATTTTAAGAACTGCAGTTATTCACTTAACAAATGTAATGAGAAAAGTCATAAAATGGGGTAAAACTCTCTTAACAAATGTCTCACTTAGCAACATAAATTTTGGGGGTCAGTTGTATTCATAAGTTGAAGACTACCTGTATAGCTTGATATTGCTTTACCTTTGCTCTGATTTTAAGCAAATAAACAAACAAATAAACAAATAAGTCATATAAAAATTAGGGACTAAAGACTGCTCTGACCCTAAAGGATTGCCTATTACAGTTGTAAGTCATAACAGCCACTATGTTATTAAACTTTACAGCCTTTTTTACAGTGATCTTTAAGAAAGCCAATGGCTTACTATGGCATAGGTTTTGCCAAAAATTGGAAGAAAGTACTAGTTTTTGGCAAAACTGTCATAAAACATGGTCACATGATTGCTGGTGTAAATGTCCATTTAGGCAACTGTGTTGCCAATGACCAAAGTACAGTCATGTGACCACAGGGTGTGACCGTCAGAACATTGGATCCAGATTGTAAGTCCCCTTTTTTGGTTGTGGTCATAGGTTGAGGAGTACCTATATGCCTGGGCTTTGTTCAAAAATAATGAGATGGCCTTTGATCACAAAATTTTGAGGATGCCACCTTGATATTTTGCACACACAGAAAAGCTCACCGTGGGTGAGGTCCATTTCTGTGAGGATGAAAATGTACATGAATTTGACTTTAGAGAAGAAAACAATTCACTGAACAACCATAACACAAATGTTCAATTTAGATCAGTGTTGTTCAAAGTTGGCAACTTAAGATATCTGGACTTCAGCTTCCAGAATTTCCAAGCTAGCCAGGAACACCGATTTAAATAATAATATTGACAAGGCAGTTCTTCTGCAACTTAAGAAAATATTGGAAGCATAATCCCTAAAATCTCTAAAGCCTCTATAAAACAAAGAAATCTGTGCAGTTGAAAAATAGCTTATCTACCTGCTAAGTAAAAAAGAAGAAATGACTGTCTCCTACTTTGATGTTCACTAATATTTCATTCAGACTTGTGTGTTATGTGATAAAAATGATGATTTAGACATATTTTAAATTGTTTGTTATTATCTTTTCTTTTTTTCCATATCTGTTTAATTAAATAAAAATAAACGTAATTCATTAAAGTAATATTGACAACTTTTTTTAAAAAAAAGATGTATAGATGTGAGATCTGAGAAAGAGAATTAGGGAAGATCAAGAATCAAGGTGCATTAAATTTACTTTTAATTCAGGGAATCAGAAGAAAAAGAAAAGTACATTTAAACTGAGCACACACCTAGATCTATATTTTATAGAACATAAATAAAATTCTACAATTCTTTCCAATTGCTTTGGAATTCATCAGTGATAATATGCTTGTGTCTAAGTGTATTCTGAGTAACATCATGTGAATTGTGTACACTTTGCTTTTGGTTATGTGTCTCTGAGGGAGGAGGGACTGAAAAACAGCTGTCAAAAACATATCATGCTGATGTTCAACTGCCTCAACCCAGGGATACATTTGGGAAATTGGTGGGAATATTTCAGTTTATTGATCTAGCTAATTGTTGCATTTTTCCCTCAGTATCAGTTATGATTCTTTTTCACATAGTTTTTTAAAATCATCCTATTAAAGATAGACATATCTGTACATACAAGAACCAGACTTTTTTTGAATTTAGAATCCACTATCTCCTTTTCAATGCTAATATGCACATAAATATACTGTATGGTTAAAAAAATGTAATAGTGGTGTTTTTCTGTAATTACTCCTCTACTTTGTTTATTTAACAAGAGGGGAGAAAAACTACAGGGCCTGGTTATTTAAGGCACAATTCATTTCCAATAGCTTCTGCCCATTTAGTAAGATCCAGAAGAAAGGGAGTATTTCATTTAAATCACCCCCATCTAATTGGACCCTGGACGTATGCCTTATTTCTTGTGGTAACTTCCACATGCAACATAATCTGCCCAGAATTCATATAGCTCCCATCTCAAAGACCTTCCAAAAAACATTGAAAAGTTGGTTATTTTCCCAGTTCTAATGATAGAGTGGTTGGTAAGCTCCTGTAAGATTTTGTGCTGTTTTTGTTGTTGTTTTTCCCTTTCTAGATTCACATCATGTGTTCTTTTATTTCATTTTTCTGAGTAGAAAGTACCCAGAGACATTGGGAGAGGAAGGAAGGAAGGAAGGAAGGAAGGAAGGAAGGAAGGAAGGAAGGAAGGAAGCTTTTTTTCTGGCAAGAGCTGATTCTATCATTTATAAGGTGTGAGATATATGCCTCAAATTTTCATTTCAAATGGAAAGTCTTTTACCAAATTTTGCATTTTTACATTTTCTGTGTAGAAATACACAGCTGACATTTTTTTTTTTCAGATTCAATGAAATACATGCAAACAGCATAGAAAAAATATTTATCAGAATATGACTAATGTTACAGACATTTAAAATTAAATATAATACATTTTATTATTTATACACAGAGAGATAATCGCACACACAAGGTTGGGTAGAATATTCTGATAAAACAAGGAAATCATTTTCCTAAACCATTAAGAACAAATCTGCAAGTTGTATATGAAACTACGAAGCTTTGTATAACTTCCACAAGGCATTTTGAAACTCTTTATTTCTCATGCTGTAAATAAATGGATTTAGGACAGGAGGAAGGATTGCATATACAAAAAATAATTCAAGATCAGATGAAGTATTATTAGGTGGTCTTATATAAACAAAGAGTCCAGTGAACAACATCAAAGAGAAAACAATGAGATGAGGGAGGCAAGTGTGGATGGCCTTTTTCTGTCCATGTACAGAAGGAATTTTGAGCACTGCAGCCAAAATCCACACATATGTTGCAACAACAAAAATAAAACATCCAAATATTATGATGCCACAAAAGGCAATTAATCCAACTTCAACTAGATATGAGTCAGAGCAAGAGATTTTAAGCAATTTTGGAATTTCACAGAAGAACTGATCAATCTTATTGGAACAAAACCTTAGTGAAAAAGTGCCACTTGTGTGCAACACTGCATAAAGCAGACTAACAATCCACACAGTGGCTGTCATCTGAATACAGGCTTCTTTGTTCATAATTGTCTCATATTTCAGAGGATTACAAATTGCGACATGGCGATCATGAGCCATTACTGTTAAAAGGAAGTATTCAGAGGCTTCAAAAAACAGCAAGAAAAAAACTTGAGCAATGCATTCAGAATAAGAAATAAACCTGCTATTCATGAGTGAATTAGTCAGAGATTTAGGTACAATGACTGAAATGGAACCAATATCCATCAGAGCCAAATTCATTAAGAAGAAATACATTGGAGAATGCAAACGATGGTTCGTGATGACTACAATAACAATAAAAAGATTGCCAGCAAGGGACACTATGTATATTGTTAGGAACAGGAAAACTTGAAAAATCTGAAATTGATAGACTTCAGAAAACTCCAGGAACAGGAATCCAGTAGGGCTGGTAAGATTTGGCATGCTGTGTGGAAATGTAAAGTGTATCTGTGGGAGAAAAAAAAATAATTATTTGCAAATAATTAATATGTAGAGATGACTTCCATTGCTGAAAAGTTTTGTGCAAATGTATTCAGTTCATATTGATCTTTGAAAACTGAAGAATAGAGAAGGATGGGGATCATAATTTCATATATTTATTTTCTTAAGCATTCATATTGTTAAGTCTGATAAAATTTCAGAAGGCAGAATTTTAACTACAATAAACCATTAAAATGTTTCTATAATTGAAGTCATTTATCACCCAGTCCTCCCATCATCAGCATGAAAGACAAATATAGATGAGGTATCCAATAGAATGACTTAACTTGCTATCCAATCCTGTCAGCTCTAGTTTTTCATAGTAGCTAATTTTTTTCCTGATTCAAAATAAAAAAGGACCATTTTATCTCTTCAAATGGCAAAATAAATTGTCTAACTACCCTAATAAAACAATTTTTTTAAGAACACTGCCCTATTTTATTCTACCTGATGTCCTTTTATTTAACTTGTAGTTTAAAACCTCAGAGTGGGAAAGAACTGTGAGAAAGATAGGGTTTACATAAAGACACAAAATCTCTCTTAGAGCAGGGCTTTTCAACCAGTGGTACGGGTACCACCTGTGGTACATTGGCACCTGGCAGGTGGTATGCGACCATCCTAGAAAAGTGGTAGCGGGGGAGGGGAATGAGCTGAACTGGTGGCAGCACCAAACAAGCCTGAGTGAGAGATGGCTGGAGCTGCAGGGCTGTTAGGGCTCAGTGGAAGCACCAGGATCAGTGCCAGGCTCCAGCTGGGCTCAGAAGAAGTGCCAATCAGCTGGAATGTTGCAGCATCTCCAGGGTCTTGTGATTTACATTGGCAACTGATTCATATTTATGATGGTCACAGTGTCCCAGGGTCATGTGAAGTGACCAAAACCTGCTGCAACCACCCAGCAGATGGGGGAATAAAAACCAAACACCCCCACTCCACCCCTGCTGCCAATCTTCAACAGAAATGCTCACAACAATGAAAACCTCAGACAGGAGGAAGAGCACCGCTGGGAGGACAGGCAGGTGTCTTGCTCAGCTGTGGCTTGGGGGTCACTTTTTTCAGTGCCATTGTAACTTCAAACAGCCACTAAGCGAACTGTTGTAAGTCGAGGACTACCTGTACTTTATCCCTTTTTTCCTTTTGTTTTTATTTGGTCATCAAGTTTTTGACACCTTGCTAGGCGACTGGTGGTACTCGGATATTGCCATATCCTAAAAGTGGTGCAATGGGTGAAAAGGTTGAAAAGCCCTGTCTTAGAGAGTAGGATAGAAATTGATGTGGATGTAATAGCTATCTGAAGTTGGAGAGACAAAGAAGAAGAAAAATACCTAGCAAACTAAGTACTTTTAGCTGCTGAAGAAATCCATTCCAGACTGAAGACCACTGAGAGGTAGAACAAGACACAATAAAAAGTGGGATCAAGCCCACTCATCAGATAAAAGAGAATCTGAAACATAAGAAAATGAACATTCCAGCAGCCATAGGAAATCACCAGATTGGCCCTTGATTAATGGAAAGGAACATGGACATAGCTGTGTACATAGTTAAATTTTAAAACGGGCATACTTGCTATAAAGTGGAAATGTTACTATCACAAGAAGGGAAATAATTTCACAATGGAAGAACAATTAAAGTTGCATATTGGTTTACTGTTTTGACCATATAGTATTGTCTTACTTAGATATTCTCAGTCATCCAGGTCACGGTTTTCAAGAGGCAACTGGACTTTCTTGGGTTTTTTTGAAGATGTTTCACTTCTCATCCAGGAAGCTTCTTTAGCTCTGACTGAATTGTGTGTGTGTGTGGGAGGAGGAATGGAAGGATTTATATTCCTTGCAGACAGCTGGTCATTTGTATTCTTTTAGACAGTCCACACATCCATTTGCACCACTCAGGCGACCTTGAGGACACATATAAACCTCCAAGTGGCCTCAAGGACTCTCTAAAAGAATGCAAATGACCAGAGCTGAATGGATGAAAAGCGAAATGTTTTCATAGAAAAACAAGAAAGTCTAGTTGCCTTTTGAAAAAGCACCTTTGGGACTACTTAGAGAAAAAGTTAGCAGTAATGTATGGTGGGGTGGAAAGGAGGGGAAGTAAGACAATTATTTATCTGCTGCATAGTTCTGGTTGTGAAAGTCAAGTTCATAGAACTTTAAAATGTTATTAATAATGGATGGGGGAACTGATTCACAAGAAGAATATTTTTTCTGTGTATTATTTGCTCACTTCCATTCCCACATAACTTTCTTACAGCATGTAAAACCTATTTACAGCATTTAAAAAGGAATTATTACAAACAAGATGTGAGATTCTTTAATCCTTTCAAGGATTCCTCAGTGAAAAATAATTGTGAAATGCTAATTTTCTATAATTTCTCTGGTTTAGCTATTTGGAGATTATTTAGTCTTTCTACCCAGCATTTCCTCCTCCATCTGTAGCAGGATAGAAAGAAAATCATAAGAATTTAACAAACCTTTTTTGACCCCAATGCATACACAAAACTGTTATTCTACAGTCTTTCATATGGAGAAATGTTTATATGAGAAAGTATCTTTTGAAACCAATAAGCCAAGTCAATGAAACTGATAAAAGAGCTGACTGGAAAAAAGCAAATGAATAAATTGATTACATGGGAGAGGCTCTTTTAAAAAACAAAACAGATATTTGAGGGAAGGAGGAAAAAATTCCAAAGTAAGGAACTTGTCATACGCCCAGTTATTATTGTCCATCAAATTGCGTAAAGAAAAACATTCAAGAGAGAGAGAGAGAGAGAGAGAGAGAGAGAGAGAGAGAGAGAGAGAGAGAGAGAGAGAGAGAGAGAGAGAGAGAGAAAGAGATTTCAGACATAAAGTATATACAGCAGTTTTTAAAAAGTCTTACAAGATTTTTCACTCAAATTTCTGATCATTCTAAAAATATGAAGGATGAAACTGCTATTTTATGTAACACTTTTTTTCAGCAACAATGTACTCAAAACAATTATTTAATCCACAGAGGACTAGTAAATACAAGATGTGGTAAACGTATAGCATTATTTCTTTGCAATATAATGTGCAGAATTAGACCCATGCAAGCAGTCTTTCATTGGTTGTCATAAGATATATGTTGTATATAAGTTTCTTTAGCAATAGTAAAAATAGTAAAAAAAAATCTTCTTTACTTACTATTTTACCACTTCAGATGTTGAGGGAACAGTGAAGTAGAAGAAACAAAAAAAGAAAAGAAAAGTATACTGTGGAAAATATAAAGCTAGCTAGCTATAGATATATATACAGACAGACAGATTTTCTCATAATTAATAATAAATGTAATTCTATTCCAACCTGTTTTTTCTCAGTTCCCAGAAGTCCTGCATCACTGCTACCAAAAAGTATTGGTCTCTCTGCCATTCCAGGTCACACAGTTATGGTTCTATTTTCTTACTGAAGGTAATCAGTTAATAAACACGGGAGCATGTATATTTAATGAGGTCTTTCCCTACTGAATATAAGTTATCAGATACTATCATTACATCATGATATGTTATCATTGTTTCCAAATGAATTCACACAGATAAAAAAATTTTTTTTTCAGTCAATTGGATTGTGGAAATCTTTTTCCTGTCCTAAAATCATTTTTTTAATATTAGGAACTATGATAATTTCAACAGTTTCCACTGTGCTGACATGGCATTCTCTATAAAGAGGGAGAAAGGAGAAATACAATAAATTCTCATAATTACAAGATTAGTTCCTCTTTCAATATAAGAAAACTACAGGCAAAAGAAAAACCTGACACCATTGGAGGATCCAGGATATAACTCAAATATTTTATTACAAACTAACACTCATTTCTCATTCTATCTATAATTTCTTCTTCAGTATGACAGATGTCTGCAATACATTGTCATTAGCAACATACTACTTTTCTAAGTTGTTTAGCTTCTTCTTCTCCTCTTTCTCATTATTGTTATTAAAGTGGCATTAACCCACTTGTAATAAATCAATCCCAACATATTTAAAAATATTTCTATTTTACTCTATGGGTTTACTATTTGTTTACTTCTTTAACCATGAAATCTACAATGACACATTGCCTTTCAGTACCTTTGTAGTTTTTGAATTTATGATCTGACAGATCATTCTATCAGATTATAAGTGATCGTCTTGCAGGACATTACTTGCTCAATTTCTAGAAAATTCATGATTGCACCAATTCTTCAATGATGGGTCATCTTTAAACAACATGCATAAAAAAGCATTACTATCAGATTTCTATATTTTTTTCCTCAGCTATGGAAATACAATTGTTATATATTTTTAAGGCAAGATCAATATAGTTTTCGTTCTATAGCAATACTTTGGATTGTATGTTAGGTTTTAATGATTTGTGTTCATTTATGTAATGGGGAAAAAGTGTTTTGTTGGAAAGACATTTAAAATACTTGGAAAATATCTACATTTTCTGCTCCATTTATTGCAATCTCATTATCATTATAATGGCAGAGTTTAGAATGCTAAAAACTCATAGTTAATGAGAAAGATGTCACCCCTTTCTCTATTTATTAAAGATTATGAAAGACAATGTTTGCATTCTACCTACAATTGCTGATCAAAACCATAGTCTAGCCCACATGCCTTGAAATTGGAGATATTCTCCTGCACATCTGAATCTAGCAGGACACTTGGGAATATGCTATAATTTTCAAGGAATATAAAGCAGAATAAAGTATATGAAGATTCCCTTCTTACTTCACTGACTTGAACATTATTTGCTGATTGAAGCATTGTCAAAGGTATTTAAGTAGAATGGCAGAAGTAACTCCCAGTGTGCAGTGCAGGCAATAATTCTATTGTTTAAGATGAAGGGTAACCAATGTTTCATTCATTATGCATTTCATCTCTTCCTCTGGATACTGCAGTTTTCAGAAAATTCTTAGAATTTCAGTAGCTTTACTCCCAATTCTG